GCTTTGAACACCCCTCCTCTGCCTTCTCAGGAAACTTACTTGAACATGAAGAAAAAAACTTCATGTTTTTTCTTATATTTTAAGCTTGCCCTCTATCCTGGATCCTTTCTGTCAGCTTTTAACGTGCATAAGACACTACCATGAACTTTCTCTCCCTCCAGCTCCCCATCGTGTATCTCTCCTCCTCTTCGCAGCCAAAGTTCTGCTGCTGCAACCTCCATTTTTTCATCCTCCTCCGCTCCCCAACCCACTGCAGTCAGGCTTACAACTTCACTGTGCCACCGAGCATTCTGCTGCAGGACCCCATGATTTCCATCTCACCCGATCAATTGTCATTTCTTTGTCCTCATCTTCTCAGCCTCTCAGCAGCATTCGATGCCGTTGGCCACTCTCTCCTTGGCTTTTGTGGCGCCACACTTCCCAGGCTCCCCCTTCTCTCCCTGACCGGTAAGGGTTGAAGATCCTCAAGGCTCAGTCCTAGTCCCTCTACAGGTCTCACTTAGCACTCTGTCTCCTGACAGGTTCTTCGATGCCTACATCAATTATCACCTACACCCGAAGACCTGCAAATGTGCCTCTCCTCTAGACCTCTCCTCTGAGCTCCAGACCCTAGAATCCAACTGTCCACCTAACATTTCCCCTGGATGTGTCACAGGTACCCCAAACTCTACATGTCCCAAACTGAACTCAAACCACACCTCTTCCAGGTTTTCCAAATCTTGGTGAATGAATAACCATCATTCAGATCTCCCAAGCCAAAACCCTGGAGTCATCCCTTCATCTCCTTCTTCATCGCCCTCCATAATCACCAACTCCTGTCCATCTTGCCTTCTGAATAGCTTACAACTCCTTCTGCTTGTTCCCTGTCTACTGCCACCATCATTGCTCACTTGGGCTGCTGCTCCCTCTCTATTCATCACACAGCAGCTGGCGGGATCTTTGAAACACAAATATAACCATGTTACACGTCTAAACACTCTAGTGGTCTCCCACTGTTCTTAGGAGGGAGAGCAAATCTTTAACAGGATGGCTTGACTGACAATGGCGTGGGAGTTGTGCTGGTGACCATCCTGTTTGTTCTCAGATACTTTCTCTGCTCTGTCCTTCTCTGATCTGTGTCGCTAGGGGAAGAGGCTCACCCCAGGCAAGCTCTGCAAGCCTCATTTTCCAGGCCCCCTTGCCCTCTGGCTTGTGGCCAGATTCTGCCAGTGCGGAGGGATGCCATGGCATCTCTCCCCCTCTCTCAGCCTCATGTAGGATCCCTTCTCTGGCAGTGGTTTCATCTCCTCCAATATTTTAGCTCCCGCTGGACACACTGTCTTTCTGTGGCCCTAGCTCCTACCAGACAGCCCCTGTAATACTTTTCTGTGGCTGCTGTAATGAATCACCACAAGGTATTTTTTAAAACCAACACGGTATTTTTGGTTACTTCAAATTATTAAAATATAAAGTGTGGCCAGCTATTGTTAGGAAGGTGAAGACCTCATTGCTTTACCTTCTAGTAGAGGGCTTCTACTGAGAGAAAATAGTGAAAAACGTTTACTATGGAAGGATTCAAGTCAGAAGTTGAAAAATAATCTGGAGTATCTTAATGCTAACGCATTAGAGTTCTGCTTCAGAACTTACACCGCTCAAAATAATCTATTTGTTTCTGAGACCATATAATATCACATAATTTTACTTCATAATTCTTGATCCTCAAATGGATATGCTATAGGACCATGCAGAGAACTGGTACTGGTCTGTGGAAAAATTGTCTTCTAAGAAACTGATCCCTGGTGCCAAAAAGGTTGGGGACCGCTGATTTAAATGAGACAAAAGGTAATGAAAGACCTGCAGAGAGCATTGTTGTTTTTCTCCAGGTTACAAAATTGTTCATAAAAATTGCTAAAATATTTTTAGTTGCTTTCTACTGTCATAAAAGTTATGATTTTTCATTCAAAATGAAATATCTCCTCTTTTCATATGACAGAATTTAGTCTTCTTTTTATGGTAGAATATAGTAAGTCATTGAGTTGCAATAATTTGTTGTTAGAAATCTTGCACGTCATTTAATGAATCTAATCTTCATGTCTTCCAGATCCGTAGAGCACCACAGCTTTCCAAGGTCACGTGCAAACCCAGAGGAGCTGCTCTATACTAGGTGCGTATTGGACACAGGAGCCCATCTTCTACATCGCATAGGTCTCTCCCTCCTCCAGTCTGCACATTAGAAAAGCATAATTTTGGACCAAATTTTGATGATTGATGGTCATAATTTAGAAGGTAATACTTTTTGATTACTTCTTTGTGCCAGGCCCTAATTGGCATTAGAGCTTACCCAAGGATCAGCATTTATTATCTCTGTTTTATAGATGATGAGACTGAGGCTCAGAGAAGTTAAGTAACTTGCTGAAGGTCACACAGGTGGGCCCTCCTAAAGCTGGGATTCATATCTCCCAAGTAGTGCCGGACTTAGTTCTCATAACTGTGGGGCCACACCTCCAATTCAAGATTTCTGGTACTTTTCCCCACTTGGCACAGGGGATCCTGACTGTGCCCAGCACTTGGCTCCACTTCTAAGGCAAAGATTCAGTGCTGTTCTTTAACTGGACCTACAATTACTATTTCCTTGAGAAAAGCTCCAGATCCTATTGTTAGCAATCATATAAAGTATCACGTTTTAAATAGACCTCTCTATATTATCAGGTGAGTAAAACTTTAAAAATAACAGTACTCTGTTTAAAATTACCAGTAGGCACCATATTGTCACTTTATAGCTTCTAAATTTTTTGACAAATATTATTTAAATTCTGCTCTCATAATTCTGTCAGATAATTTTTAGTTAATAAGAGAGTGACATTTTTACCCAGATGGTCTATGGTATTACTTATTAGAAAACCAATGATAAGAAAAACTTCTTCTTTTTTGTGAATGACAAAGTTACATAAATAAAGGCTAGTTCTGTGTTGTCTAATTAGTAGCTACATGTGACTACTTAGCATGTGAAATGTGGCTAGCTGGACTTGAGATGTTTTGTAAGTGTAAAATACAAACCAGAAGACTTGAGAAACCAAAAACCATGTAAAATATCCCATTAGCAACTTTTGTATCAATTACATGTTGAAATAATATTTTAGATATATTGAGCTAACCAAAATATAATTATTAATTTCCCCTGTTTCTTTTGTCATTTTAATGTGACTATTAGAAAAATTTTAATTACATATGGGGCTTCATATATTTCTATTTGACAGTAGTGAGTTAAGTGACAACTCAGAGATGAAAGAAAGTGTTAGTGTGAGTGGAAGCAAACAGTTCATAGCATGCCATTTATCAGTGAAAGCATTTTTCTCCAGTGATAAGGTGATGACAATTCTACCATTTTCTCAAAGTTCTACCCTGTTCGATTCCCACTGCATTCATAAGAAGCACAGGAAAAGGCATTTCCTCATCTGAAGAAATTCTTGGACTGATTTTTAACAATTCAGAAATGTGGACCCGGGATATCAAGAACAAGAAAGTACCATTTCCTGTTTCAGAGTGACGGCATGACTCCGAGCAGTGGTCACCCGTGCAGATCGCCCATCTCTGCGATAGAGGTGATCGCTCACAGCGCAGCAGTGCAAAGCCAAAGGGCACCCACGAGTTCATTACATAATTCTCGGTAGCGTGAGGCCACGTGTGTCTCTGTTCTGGGGGAATGGTGGGAGCTCTGACAGGCAGACCAAAGCGGTCCTGGCGATGTTTTGACAAAGTGTGCACTAGAGCTTGTTTGTTTGGAAAAAGACTAACTAGCTCTTCCCTCCTCCTTTCCCTTTTCTCTCTCTCCCCCCACCCCTCTCTCTCTCTCTCTTTTTTTTCTTTTAAACACTCTGGCATAATGCTGAATGACTTTGTTTTTAAGCTGCCTTAGCCTTGTTTTGTGAAGAAAAAGCCTGAGTATTCTTTCCCTGTAGGACACAAGTTGTTATTTTTGGAGCAGAGGTTCTTAGCCTGATCTCTGTCTAAATCAATTTCTGTCTTGGTGAGGTCGTGATCTGTGACAGCTCTGGGTGTCCTCCATGGAGGGAAGCTTCTTTGTTTTGTGAGGAGAGTGAGCAAAGACGTCAAGGGGCCACGCCTGCAACTTCACTGCTCTTGGTCTCAACATGAAGGCTCCTTGGCATTCGGGGACCACTCATTAGATTGTGCCTTGGAACAGTCCCAACCACATGCTGTGGGGTGGCGTGCTTTCTGTCTTCGGGGTCATGGAAAATTCTTGTCTCATTCAGAGCCCAGACTCCAGGCTGACTCCCTTCATCTCTCTGTTTCAGGCATATGGCTTTTTCTGCTTATTTCACTTCACTTATTTCACTATGTTTTGGGTTGAGATGGCCCCCTTCTCCCTTTTAAATCTGAGGTTCTTCAGGTCACAGATGACTCAACTAAGAAAGGCATAGCTGGAGGATTTCTGCAGGCCGGTGAGCACATCTCCCATGGCAGACCAGTCTCGGGAAGCAGAGTTCAGAGCACTCCCTCTGCAACCTGCTCTTTGCATCAGGCTACCAGACCCAAGGAGGAAACCTCTCCAACTTCTCACAGCCCCTTTTCCTGTCCTTTATTCCTAGGCGTTTACATAGCTTGAGCCTGGTAGGAAACATGTAAAATTAGACACAGTTTAAAATACTGCTGTCAGCCACAGATAAAATGACAACTGATTATTACTCCCGTTGAACACTGGCCTAGCCGAATGAATACTCAGGGAACGGGCGTGTGTGGAGAAAGGCCCACGATGACCGGCTGGTGGGGGAGGTGGACCGGGCAGGGGTCCCATTCCCCGGTGCGGGTGGGAGCGCGACCTGGCGGGTGCGGGTTCCTGGCCGGCTATACATAGCCAGCCAAAGCTTCTTACAAGAGAAACCTCTTTCCGCACCCTCCACCGGTCCCAGCCGCAGACTAGAAGTCTGGCTGTAAATCCTGTTAGTTATTCAACCTCAGACAGAAATCCGCCCGCCGGCCACCAGACCTGACAGGCGCCCACAGCCCTCCATCCTTCCTTCGCTCTCCCTGGGAGCGCGCCCTGAGCTCAGCCATGGTGGACATGGGGGCCCTGGACAACCTGATCGCCAACACGGCCTACCTGCAGGCCCGGAAGGCCTCGGACAGCGACAGCAAGGAGCTGCAGCGGCGGCGCCGCAGCCTGGCCCTGCCCGGGCCGCAGTGCTGCGCCGAGCTCCGCCGCGGGCCGTCCCCGCACTTCCACAGCCTGTGCGAGCAGCAGCCCATCGGCCGCCGCCTCTTCCGTGACTTCCTCGCCACGGTGCCCACGTACCAAGAGGCTGTGGCCTTCCTGGAGGAGGCGCAGAGCTGGGAGCTCGCTGAGGAGGGGCCCGCCAAGGACAGCGCGCTGCAGGGGCTGGTGGCCACCTGTGCGCACGGCCCTGCCCCGGAGCACCCGCACCCCTTCCTCAGCCCGGCTCTGGCCACCAGGGGCCAAGCAGCCGCCACCAAGGAAGAGCGAGTGGCCGTGGTGGAGCTGGCCAAGGCTGAAGCCATGGCCTTCTTGCAGGAGCAGCCCTTCAGGGATTTCCTGGCCAGCCCCTTCTATGACAAGTTTCTGCAGTGGAAACTCTTTGAGATGCAACCAGTGTCAGACAATTACTTCACTGAGTTCCGAGTGCTGGGGAAAGGTGGTTTTGGGGAGGTAAGTGTCTGAATAACCAGGCTGGAAGGTGAAATATAGAGCATAAAACGGGGTTATATTGCCGTTTTTTTAATCTCAAGGGAGCTTATTTAGAACTAATTCCAGTGCCACGTGTGGAGCATTCCTAGTCCACTCTCCCCTCCTCCTTTCCTCCTGGTCACTGTGTCAAATAAAACAAGTGGCCTAAGAGAGACAAGCAAAATGTGGACTTGGCCAAGAATCTTTCACGGGGTTTACATCAGGGACATGCCGACGTGCCCTGGCCGCCTTGGAGAACGACAACAACATGGGATGGAAGATCTCCTTTTCCCCCGAGTTGGGGTAATGGAGGTAATTTGAGAAAAACAGATATCTAAGAAAACACTCATCTTGAAGTAAAGTTGAGAACCTGTTTTGTACCACTGCTTTGCACAGTTCTTTAAATAATAAAAAAAATTTTAGATAAAATTCACATAACATAAAACTAACCATTAACCACTTAAAAATATATAACTCGGTGGCGTTTTGCACATTTGCAATGTTGTGTAACCATCACCTCTGTCTAAATCCAAGACATTTCATCACCCCTGTGCCCTTAACAGTCCCTCCTTATCTCCCTCCTCCAGCTCTGGCAATCACGGGTCTGTTTTTTGTCTCTATGGATTTGCCTATTCTGAATGTTTCCTACAATATGACCTTTTGTGTCTAGCTTCTTCCACTCAGCATATTGCTATGGAGGTTCACTTATATTATAGCATGTATCAGTACTTCCTTCCTTTTTATGGCTGCATAATATTCTATTGTGTGGCTGTACTACATTTTGTTTATCTACTCATCTATTGATGGACACAGGTTGTTTCCACCTTTTGGCTATTATACATAGTACTGCTATGAACATTTATGTACAAGTATTTGTTTGAATAATTGTTTTCATTTCTCTTGGGTGCATGCCTAGGAGTAGAATTGCTGGGTCATATGGCAATTCTATGTTTAACTTTTTGAGAAGCCGCCAAACTCTTTTCCACATTTTACATTCCCACCAACAATGCAGGAGGGTTCCAATTTCTCCACATCCTTGCCAACCTTTGTTATTTTCCTGTATTTTTTAATTATGGCCAACCTAGGGGGCTGAAGTGGTATCTCATCGTAGTCCCTGCTCTTTCTTGAGACCCCTCCTTACTTACAGCTTCTCCTTTCTCAGAAGCCTGCCATTTTTTCACCTTGGCTGATTTCCACCCCCTCCTCCTTTATCCTCCCCTCTCCCACCCCTCTACAGGGCCATCTACTTCTCTCTCTTTCTCTTCTTCAAGGTATGCGCCGTCCAGGTGAAAAACACTGGTAAGATGTATGCCTGTAAGAAACTAGACAAGAAGCGACTGAAGAAAAAAAATGGCGAGAAGATGGCTCTCTTGGAAAAAGAAATCTTGGAGAAGGTGAGCAGCCCTTTCATCGTCTCTCTGGCCTACGCCTTTGAGAGCAAGTACCATCTCTGCCTGGTCATGAGCCTGATGAATGGCGGAGACCTCAAGTTCCACATCTACAGCGTGGGCACGCGGGGCCTGGCCATGAGCCGGGTGGTCTTCTACGCAGCCCAGATGGCCTGCGGAGTGCTGCACCTCCATGCCCTCGGCATTGTCTACCGGGACATGAAGCCTGAGAACGTGCTTCTGGACGACCTCGGCAACTGCAGGCTTTCCGACCTGGGGCTGGCTGTGCAGATCCAGGACGGCAAGCCCGTCACCCAGAGGGTGAGTGGCTCTCCACCTGCCCCAAGTGCAGGGCACAGAGTCAGAAAGGAGGGGAGAGGGCTGTTCTGTTCCTGGGGCAAACAGAGCCTTGGACTTAATTCTCCTGATTTTCCTTTTCCTAAAGCCCTTATGTTGTCATCTTGTCGTAAGTGGAATAGTGCAAGAGGATTAGCCTAAATGGCTGTTTGGGGACTACCTTGGTCTCTTCTCATGGCAGACAGGATAGGGGAGCCTTCTTTGTGAGATGGGGCTGGTCTGTGCCTTGATGGTGAGATGGAGAGAGCTGAATCCATAGTCAGGGTCTAAGCGTGTTCCACCAATAACCACCTCCATGGTGCTTTGTTCCTGAGCCAACAGAGCCTTGCTTTCCTCTTCTTGAAAATGAGGGAGCTGGACCCTAAAATCCTGTGATCCTAGGAGGTAGATTTTAATAGGATAAGAAAAAGAAGGATCCCCTAACACCTAGCACATTAAAAGTAAAATATCTCCTTTCCTGTTGAGTGTAGAATGAGGGATGTTTTACGTTGGATGAAGATGAAATTTTAAATGAAAATATATAGAAGAAAATAAAAGCAACTGGTGTTTATTTGGATCCATTTGGCTCAAAGTGACTTGTTGAAAATTCTTTGGTTAAAAGGGGGATGATAATTGAGCAATTATGTTAAATGAACAGTACAAAAATCTTTGGAATTCTAATATGTCTTTACCACTGAGTTTCTCTGCACAAAGATGGAAGATTCCCCAGGAAGATAAGGGCCCAGACCATCTTAAATGTTCTCTTAAAACTTTATTTTTGTACAGTTTTCAGCTTACAAGGGACAAAGAATGAGGCAAAGAAATGAGAAAAATAATGGCAAGTTTGGGAAACCACTGGTGATTTTATGAAGCTATAATGGAAGGGACATGGACAAGCTATGTAGGACTCAGCTCATGCACAGGTGGAGTTCTGGAATGCCTTCTAGTGGGGGACTGGGAGCTCTTGAAGGGAAATGGCATGATTAGATTTGCATCTTAAAAAGACCAGTCCAGCAACAATTTGGAAGGTAAATAGGAGGCTGGGAAGCTAGTTAGGAGGCAAGTGTAGTGGCCCAGGTAAGAGATGGTGGGAGTCTGTACAGGACAGTGGGATCGAAGAAGTGGGAGCAAACTGGAGCTCCTGGAAAGAAATCTGATGGGATTTGGGGGACAGCTAGGTATGGGGGTGAGGGAAGGTAAGGAAGGCGAGGGTCTCTAGCTCTAGGGACCAGAGGAGGAGCAGAGTGGTAGGAGAGCTGGCAGTCGTAACTGTGATCATATTGGCTATGAGGCTCCCATGGAAGAGGCAGGCAGAGATGTTCACTGGGCAGACAGAGGGATTGGAGTCATTATGGCCTGGGAAGCAGAAGACATGGCTGAGTCACTTGGGAAAGAGTGGGGGAAGAGGACCAGGGACAGAAACTGAAAAATACCAACACGTGGGGGATATAGAAGAAGAGGGGCCTTGAAGAGGTTTAAGAAGTAGGAGGAGAGGCAGGAATGGTATAGTCATGGGAACTGTATCAGTTGGGGATGGGTTTCAGTTGCACATCATAGAAAACCCAGATAACGATGTATTAAACAAGACAGGGATTTATTTTTCTTAGTAACAAGGTATAGAAATAAGCAGTTGTTGGCATTAGTTCAGCAACTGCCAGATGGTGGGATCCACATCTCTATAATTTTATCCTTTTCCTTATGTTGCAAGATGGCTGCTCTAGCCCCAGCCATCAGGACCATGTTCCAGGCAGGAAAAAGAAGGAAGGGTCAGGAGTAAATGGGCATGCATGCGGTACCTAAGTGTGCTCCCCTTTAAGGAGCTTTCCTTGATGCCCCAACCAACAGCTTCCACTTAGATCTCATCGGCTAGGACTGTTATCCGGCCTGACGTGGCCCATTTCTAGGGGCCGAGGAATGAACACAGAGACAAAGAGACACAGACACACACAAAGACGGTACAGGACTGCAGCCACTACAAAGAGACACAGACACACAAAGACGGTATAACACTGCAGCAAACTTTCTTGCTGTAGTTTCTTTATTTATAACACAGCCTGTTTGGCAACTGTCCCACCGCAATTTCTTCGTTCCCACACTGTCCCGACTCAACACGTCCCTGTTCCTTGTTGTTTCGTCTCCAGTGAGCAGATGTTTGCATCTAAACTCTCTAGCCCTTACTGTTTTCAGATAAGGGCGCCCTGGACTTGCATTCAAGCCCCCAGGCATATTCTGAGAAAAACAACAAGAAACCGTTCCCAGACAAAGTGTCCTCTACACGGCCACCACCTAGCTGCAGAGGAAGCTGATAAATGACATGCTTTAGGGGTGAAGAAGATGGGGGGGTTCTAATTAGTAAAGAGGAAGAAAGTCTGGATATTGAGCAGGTAACTAGCAGCCTCTGCCACAGGAGCCCAGGAGAAGAGGATTTTCTGGAGGAGAGAGTGGGCAGCAGCGTGAGTGCTGCGAAGAGGTTATGCAGCAGTGGGATGCGGCAATTAGGAAAGCACGGTGTCCTCAGTAAGAGCAACTCTCAAGGGCTGGTGAGGTCTAAACTCAGACTGCGGCGGTTGGCTTCATCTGGAAGTAGAGAGTGAGACTGGGGAAGGAGGGAAGGAGGGAAGCTGGTCCTTAGAGGAGACGCAGGGAGGAGAACGGAGTTTCTCTTCAATGTGGGGAGGAATGAGCAAGTTTAGATGCTGACGCAAGAGCCAGCATAGAAGGTGCTGATTCTACAGGAAGGAAAGAGGTGAACCCTGGAGGAGGATCTGAGGACGAACTTAAGCAACACTGGCTCCTAAGTGGGCGGGAAGGAGGGACAGCTGGTGGGGGGTGGGCAGAGCGTTTGCCTCCTTGGGACCTTTCTATGGAAACAGAATGTCGTGAATTCGTATCTGCCTATGTTCGAAAACACTGAAACGCATTACTCCATGGTTTTGCACTTGCAGAGCAGAAATATTCCTTCCGTGTCCCCCGTATACATGGATTATGTGAATTGTTGGTGTATCTCCACCTCTCTGGAGGCTTAGGGGATACAAACAGCTTTGTCACTGTCCAGTCTCCCTTCCCAGCCTTCCTCTGGCTCTGTTCCTGGGCCAAGAGAATCTTCTCCAACAGTTCCTCCAGAAGCTTCTGCATGCAGCTCTCCAGCTCTTTGGAACCTGCAGGAAAATTTCTGTGCCTCCCTGATATTGTCCACTGTAACAAATGCACTTAGTAGAGATGTTTACAGCTTAGAGACCTTTGGCTCTGTTACCTCTGTGTTCCTCTCTGCCCATGAGACCAACCTTCAGGGTTTGGACCACTTGCCCCATCCAAGGAGTTTCATGTCCCCATCCCGAGGCCTGCCTGAAGCCCAGGGGACCAGCAGGAAGGGGGAGGAGGAGGAGATAGAGAATGAGATTGGAAGCCATTAAGCAAGAGAAAAGAAAGGAAAGCTACCTTTTTCACTGCTTACCCCTCTACATAGCTAAGTAAACCCCCTTAGGTTCCTATTTCTTGCAGCTTCCACGCATATAATTGGGGCCCCAAGTGGAATTTAAGGTCATTGTATTCACATTTCACAGAAGAAATGAAAAATGACATGTTTACAGGCTTCTGTAACCACAAACATTCAGTTATGATGTCAAGATACTATATTAAAAGATTACTGTGAACATTAGAGAGAAGGTGCTATGGTTTGAATGTGAACCCCAAATTTCATGTGTTGGGAATGGGTTAGTAGATTATTGGGCTAATGGGTTATCACGGGAGCGGAACTGGTGGCTTTATTTATTTATTTTTTGTATTTATTTATTTTTTTGAGACAGAATCTCACTGTGTTGCCTGGGCTAGAGTGCTGTGGCATCATCCTAGCTCACAGCAACCTCGAACTCCTGGGCTCAAGCAATCCTTCTGCCTCAGCCTCCTGAGTAGCTGGGACTACAGGCATGTGCCACCATGCCCAGCTAATTTTTTCTATATATTTTTAGTTGTCTGATTAATTTCTTTCTATTTTTTCAGTAGAGACAGGGTCTCGCTCTTGCTCAGGCTGATTTTGAACTCCTGAGCTCAAACAATCCGCCCGCCTCGGCCTCCCAGAGTGCTAGGATTACAGGCATGAGCCACCGCGCCCGACCTATTTTTTTTTAATTATGTGTGTGTGTGTGTGTGTGAGTGTGTGTGTGTTCGTGCACGCTACTATAATACTTGAAGGAGAGGCATTAGATAGAGATAAATATTCCAATGCATAACATATTTTTGCCTGTATCTCAATAAAATAGAAGGGATCATGATCTAGTAGAAATGGGCTCCAGAATCAGACCTGAGCTCAAATCCCAGATAAACTACTTAAGAGCCCTGTCACCTCGGGCAATCTGTACAACTTCTTTGAACATCTATTTCTTCAATAGTAAAATGGAGATTTTTTTTTTAAATTTCAGAGTATTACAGAGGTACAAACACTTTGGTTACATATTGCCTTTGCACCACTGGAGTCAAAGCTACAAGCGTGCCCATCCCACACACAGTGCACACAGCACCTGTTAGGTATGAATTTATCCATCCCCTCCTCCCCCCTCCCACCTGCCGATACCCAGTGAATGTTACTTCCATTTGTGTATGTAAGTGTTGATCAATGAGCACCAATTTAATGGTGAGTACATGTGGTACTTGTTTTTCCATTCTTGTGATACTTCACTTAGAAGAATGGGCTCCAGCTCTATCCAGGAGAATACAAGAGGTATTAGTTCACCGTTTTTTATGGCTGAGTAGTACTCCATGGTATACGTATACTACATTTTATTAATCCACACATGGATTGATGGGCACTTGGGTTGTTTCCACACCTTTGCAATTGTGAATTGTGCTGCCATAAACATTCTAGTGCAGATGTCTTTTTTATAGAATGTGTTTTTTCCTTTGAGTAATCTAGTAATAGGATTGCTGGATCAAATGGTAGTTCTACTTTTAGTTCTTTGAGGTATCTCCATATTACTTTCCATAGAGGT